GGCCCGGCGGGAGTCGTGAGGTGACAGCCGCCTTGGTCAGCACTGAGGGGGAGCAGAACAGGAGATACAAGACAGCAAAGCACAATATGAAAAGTGGGTTTTGTTGAGAGGAGAAAGATAGGAAATGAAAAACAGTAGCATGTGCAGCACTGTGGCCTTCATCTTTTCTGATGTCCTGTCACATTTGCCTTCTCTGCAGCCTACCCCTGCGCTTCTGGATCAACATCATTAAGAACCCTCAGTTTGTCTTTGACGTGCAGACGTCGGATAATGTCGATGCTGTGCTCCTGGTCATTGCACAGACCTTCATGGACTCCTGTACAATTGCTGACCATAAGCTGGGGAGGGTAAGTAGGGAGATAAAAGCATGGTTAGCACAGTCTGAGCAGTGCTGCCCAGGGAGACAGTGATGTCACCTTAATGTCCCTTCCCTGCTCCCACGTGTCCCTCAAGAACTGAAGTGATTCATGGGCATTGCTGTGAAGAGAGGAGGAAGGCACTGGTTTTGTTTAGCCTGCTGCAGAAATTGAGGTGTTTTAACTGCAGCCTTGTAGCTGCCTGAGGAACAGAACTGGAGTCTTGCTGGTTGTGGTAGATGGTGTTATAAGACAGATTGCATCTAGAGACCTTTGGAGGAAAGCAAGGAGGAAAACCTTTCTCCTTCCATTTCCTCCCTGCTGAGGGAGGAGCTTGATGCACAAGTCATCAGGGATAGGGATGGTCTCTGCTTTCACTGCAGATTTCAAGCCTCAGGTAGACAAAGATGCAGAAAACATGATCTCACTCAGCCTCACCTCAAGTTGGAGGCCAGGCTAGAGATCTCAGAGGTCCCTTCACATTCCTGTCTTGTGATTTATCAGACTGTGTTACTGTCTAGAAAGGTGTCTAGCAGCTGGTGTGTCCTTCTGCGCATAGGACAAAAATTCCCTGCCCTCAGTAAGTGGTACAGACTAGTGGGCTAAGGTTAGCCCACAGCACGGTGAAGAGGGGCGTTTTGTGACTAATTCTGCTTTGGCTATTCAAGGACTCTCCAATCAATAAGCTGCTTTATGCCCGGGACATTCCTCGCTACAAGCAGATGGTGGAAAGGTGAGTAGTGAATGTGAGTGAGTGTTGGCTTGAGTAAGATGAGATGAGGAGGAGCAGTGCAGTAACTGTTCACTGTTCACTCCTGTGCAGGTATTATGCAGACATTCGTCAAACCATCTCTGCCAGTGACCAGGAGATGAACTCTGCCCTGGCTGAGCTGTCACGGGTAAATACGGATATTTATTTCAGAAATCACCCTAGCCGCTTTCCTGCACATATATTAGAAAGTTAGCAGTGCAAAGATCAGATATTCCAGATGATTCTGCCCAGCTAGTGCTTAAGAAAAAACTGTCAAGGCTTCAAGGCAAGGAGTTTTTGTGACTTTTCTTTCACTAGGAAACCTAGTGAGTTCCCTTTCCTGATGCTTTGTGCTGGGTTTAGTGGCTGGCACAATCCCTTTTGAGTTGAGAACACAGAATCTGGAGGAACAGTTTTATTAGAGATCTGAGGGTTTTGGCTAACTGACTCTCTCTCTTCAGAATTACTCAGGTGACCTCAATTCCCTGGTGGCTCTACATGAATTGTACAAATACATCAATAAGTACTATGACCAGGTGAGTCTCCAGGAGATACAAACATGCTCTTTTCTTTCCTGTCATGGGCTGGTAAACCACTAAGTTAATATTGGGAGCTTGTTCTGCTTCCCATCCAATTAAAAAAAAAATAATAATTAAAAGCAGCTGGACTATTCCTTTTTTGATTCTGATATCTAAATGTTCTACTTAAAATTGAAATGCAGTTAAAAATAAATTAAGACTTTATTAAATTAATTAGAAAAAAATTCAAATAAGTCTAGCATTCCTTTTCCAATATTGAGTTTATATTTTATTAGAACTAATCTGGAATACTTGTGGTTAAACATACATTTAAGTTGAACTATTGCATGCCTCTCTCGTCTTGCGCATACGGGACCCCACTTTGTGCCCTCTGCACTGTGCTCCTCTGCGTGCTGTAGACGTGCGTGGAGCTGAGGTTTTGAGTGTTTTGTGCTGGAGAAGGGCTGCCAGTGAACTCTGTCTCATTGCAGATCATTACTGCCTTGGAAGAAGACCCAACGGCGCAGAAGATGCAGCTCGGATATAGACTGCAACAGATTGCAGCAGCTGTGGAGAATAAAGTCACCGATTTGTGACACACAGACAGACTGATGCTCTCACCTGGCTCGATAGGGACAGTGCTCGTCCTAGCTATGCACAAGGTGTCCTGCTGCCATTGGAACCAGGCTCTCCGAGGAACCGGCGGGTGACATGAACAGGGACAGCCAAGGCAGTACCAAGTACAAGCGTCCTTGCATCTCAGAGAATATTTTTTTTACAGTTTTCTCTTTTTAAAAGCAAAACAAAACAAAAAAGAACTTCTGATTTCCTCTGACCCAGAATGTCAGGGGGACCAGACAGCTCCTTCCTGCAGATGTTACGTGAATGTGCCAAGTTTCCAAACCACATCGCTGAAGAGCCAGGTGACACTGCCAAGCACCGTGTCCATGGAGGCCTCGGTCTCCACAGCCAGTGCTGGGGCCTCCCCTGCTGCAGCCGCTCGTTTTAGCGCTGCAGCTGTGACCAGCTGTGGTGCCCCAGCAGCCCTGCTAGTTCCCCGAGGCCTCTCTCCGGACCAGGAGGGACACAGGAGACTGTTCCCAGGCTGCTGGCTGGGCTAACCTCTCCATACGCCCGTAGAGACCTCCAGCTGTCTGGACTAGTGAGTACGACTACTGTAGGGCCATCTGAGAAGTGTCCTCGGAGAAACGCTCCCTCTGATTCTGGGTACTGGCTGTAGAAAGGAGAGAGCGCGATAGCAAAGGATCTTGCTCCCCACGTTCTGGTCTCTAACAGCTTGTGTGCAAAGCCCGCTCGGATGTAACGCGTTCACCAGCATACGTGCTTGCCCAGAGACCTGGACACTGCACACTCGCCGTCCCGCTCAGGACAGTTTTGGCATGTGAGGAGTAGGCTGCCTGGCCCACCTCAGCCTCCACTGACCCCGCTCTGGTTCCGTCTCCCTGGTTCCCGGTGGCCAGAAGTTGCCCTGCTCCTTGGAAAGCACAACAAATGCCTTGTGCCACTTCCCCTCCCTTTGGTGTCTAGCTGTTCTGCTGCTCTAAACTGGACTTGTAAATACCCTCAGAAAGATAATGTATTTAAATGCTAAAGGAGAATGTTTAACTTTGTGGCTTTGAGACAAGGCTTTTCTTGGAGAAGCATCTCTGTGCACTTCTACTGACAAACGTCTGTCAGCACTGGAGCAAAGTTTTCTCCACTGCTTTGTCTGCAGGGATAACTCAGATGTCTCCGCTGTCATAACAGCAGCTCGCTTTCCCCACAGCTCAGTTCCAGGCTTAGCTCTATCCTTAGGCTTGCTCTTAGGCTTGCTTTACCCTGTCCACAGGTTCACTTCCCAAACTCTCTTGCTGCGGCACATAGAAGGGTGGTTTGGCGAGCTGTGAACTCAAGCCACGAAGCACAACCACGTTGCTCCCCAAGAGCACCAG